TTAACCATAGTTAATCGTTGACAAAGACAAAAAAAAAACCATAGTTAATTGGTCAACTTGGTTAACTAACTATAGTTTACAATTCAACTGACTTCATCCACTTCGTATTTGATGCTCCAAATAATATATTACAAAATACTTTTAAGTTTTCCTACAAATTACAAACTTACAATAGGGACATCAAATTCGAATGATACTAAACGCAGCTACCAAACGTTTACACTTTTAACTTAAGTTTGCGCATATTAATTTATATGAAATTGAATGATATAGAAATTTGTTTTCTCAAAGAGTATGTCCAAATGAGAATTAACTTCTCTATAAAGTACGGATCTCTGCCTCTTATCCTCGACTGCCTACAAAAATTTCTAAAATGAGGAGAATTTGGTTACTTGTCTTACATTGACATCTTCCCAAAAATAAAATCTCTAATTGTATCTTTTGTGTCTCTTCAAAAATCATATATGTAACTATAGTAAGAGATTTTGTTAAATTTTGTATCTTTAGTACTAAAGCTTTGAAAATTAGAGCTTAACCAATTAAGTTTTAGTGATTTTAATTTTAAAAAATTTCGATAAAAAATACTCACAACGATTTTCTCATTTTTTGTTCTCCTACGAGGCTTTTTAAAGCCAATGAAATATGATTTTTTTTAATTAAATTGTAGCTTATATATTTTAAAATCATATTCTTTACCGCAATTTTTCTAAGTAAAAAAACATATAGTTAAAGTATTTAAGAATCCCCTTTTATTCTGATAAGCTTATTTATATATTACTGGTCACTTATCTTACATTGACATCTTCCCAAAAGAATGCTTATCTAGGAGCAAGGAGAACGCTTGCTTTGTCTAATTGTATATGTTTTCATGAGTATATGACTTTACATACGTACAAGCTAAAAAACCACAACATTTTAGCCTAATCGTAATGTCCTGACTTTTTACTAATTAAGTCTGGTGACATTGTAAAAAAAACTGTGTGATAAAATGAGAAAAAAAGGAACTTTATCAATTTACAAACATGACCTAAAAAATATCAAACATATTAACATTCTTTCTTTTTTTTAATAATTCTTTTTTATTTACAGACAATTTTCACATTCTTGGGATCTCGATATTGTGCCCATTGCTTTCTTCTGTCAAGAGAAGACATATACAATGGTAGATTAATCAATAACAGCAACATATACATTAACAAAATCTAGAACCGCCATAACGTCTTTATACATAGTCGACAATATAATAAGACTTATGAGTAACTTCATCTCAAACAA